TCAACAAAGCTACAATGTCACCAAAATACATATAAATTTAAATCTAATAAGATATCGTTCTATTTAATGAAATGGTGTCAATTCTTTATTTAAAAAAACCTTCTTAAGCTTCAGAGCCTTAAAAGGTATCAAATTAACAAGATGTATATTCTCACGGAATATTCTCAAGAAATTTATGATTTAAATAATTCAGCCTGAAATGAGATATTCTTTAATCCGAATTTAATCCTCAAAGCTATTTTAAGAACATGAGAAAAATCTCGAAGGCAACATAATGTCTGAAAAAAGCTTGTCATTCCTCTCATTTGAGCTTACTTTGTTGTCATTTTTGAGATCAGAAAGTTAAAGTCACAAAATTATTATCAACATAATTCAACAAGCAATTCCGATTCGATGATGAAGGCAAAGTAGGTGATGAAAAGAGCTTAAAGGTCGAATAAAAAAAAGTTTTTTTGACAGTTGATGAAATCTCAAAAGATTAAAAAGGTCCACAGCACTATGTCATTTCACATTGTATGCACTCAAAGAAAAAATGTAATATTGAATTTTAGATTTGTATGAAAAAATCTAAAAGAAAATTTTGTAATCAAAAATTTTATTTTAATTCATACTTTAAAAGAATAAATAATTTTTCTTTTAAACCTAAACTCAACATTAATTTTTTAAATTTAAATTTAAAATTCTAGAATCTAAAGTAAAGATTTTTGAATTTAAAAAATAATTTTTATTTTTTTAAATTCATCTTTTAATTTAAAGCAAATTAAGTTGATGGAAGTGACAGAACTCATAAAAACATAAAGCACGAATGCTTGTGAGGCAGAAGAAATTTCATTCATGTGAAAGATATTATTATAAATATCTTAAGTTTGTCTGGAAATTTAGGTTGGACTTGATGTAATGATTTCTGCAAAGTTTTATTTTGCTTCAAATATTTATGCGAATTATTGTTTTTAAAAAACAAAAAGAAAATCTTTTAAATCAAAAATTGTACAGTAAAATCAAAAGTTTTATTTTGGAATGAAAATCTAAAAATTTGCACTTTAGATTTTTAAAATGAGTATTTTTAATTTTAAAACTTAATTTTAAATTTTACTTTAGATTTAATGATTTCAATTAGAATTGACAAATTTTAAAATTTAAAATGGAAATTTTTGAATTTTTTTCCTGAGCATGCTTTCGTAAATTTAATGGAAAGCGACAAAACAGTCTATTTATAGTCATACACACCTCATTATAATTACTTCTCATGATGTCTGACCTGCCTCTATTAAAGCTAGATGTTAAGTCGTTGGTATGATAATCCTACCTTTAATTAGATGTATATATAGAACTAAATGAGAAAAATAATCATTAACGCCTACGAAGATGCTAAAAAGAGGAAAATGTTTTGTGTCAGGGAGTGCATGCAAAAATTAATAAAACGTTTGATTATCACAAAAAACATCCTCGAATTTGAAAAAATATTTAAACCATTAAAGTTCAATATTGGAAAATCGGTAAAATTTGAATTTCGCAAAAACAATAAACTTTAAATTTTAGAAAAGCAATAAAATTTGATTTTAAAAAAAAGAAATAAAACAATGAAAAAATAAGATTTCGCAAACTATTGAATTTACAAAACTCCCCTGACTATCGCGTAATCGAATACAAAAGGCTATTTTACTGTTCTTTTTTTTTGTTTTTGTTTTATTGATTAATTAGCTTATTAATAGAAAATTGGAAGTGAAATTTGTTTTTTTTCTTTCTTATTTATTTCCTTACTCCAATTAGCAAAGATATTGCAATTTATTAATGAACCAAGTCAGAAAATTTATTTACCCTGTTTTTTCGTTATAAGCTACTAGCTTAGTAAAGTTTTTTTGAACTTGAAAATTTTTTGTAATCTTTACTAAGCTACTACCGAAAATAAAGTTTAATTAATCTTTTTCAACTTTTTAAGTATCAGTTTAATTAAGTTAAAAAATTCAAAATTTTCATTGAAGTTCAATTTCTTTACTAAGCTACTAGTGAGCCAAAAAAAAATCACATTTTTATTCTTCTAAGCTCCTAGCTTATAACGAAAAAACAGGGTAAAACGAGTGTAATTGAATTGTTTTGGTATAAATAAATCATGAAATTATTCATAAGATTACGGTTTTTTTCATGCGAGATACATGAAGGATACAGTTCTTTTGAATAATGAATAGAAAGCTTGATAATTGTTAGGAACATTGGTGCTTTTTAAAGCACATTTAATTTTAGTTTTCAAGCAGTGCTTTCATCATTCAAATACGTATTAAGTTAATGATTCTATCCTATTTTACTCGTGTGATTCGAGGAAAAATGTTTCATGTTTTATACAGAACTTTTTAAATACATTGCACACATGATGGTTAAAGGATAATCTCATTTATCTGGTAATTATGATTCTTTTTGGTTATTTAGCTGTAGTTATGTTTCATAAAATGTTTCACCTTAGAGCTACTTAAGTTCATATTTCACATATAGTTACTATCAAGTGACATAATATATTTTATTATTTGGAGCACATACTAATGGTAAATATTGAATTATTTTATAATCTTTGGTTTTTTTTTTACTTAAATAGGTGGTGCAAATATGATTTAAAATATGAAGAGCTTTCAATCGACTTGTTGACTTTAAAACTTGTTGTAAATTTGTTTAAAAAGATCTTAGTATAGCTACAACTACCCTTATCTCGTAGGTCCTATTCATACCTATATCCCTACCTTCTAAATCATCAGATTCTTACTCCTAATATAATAATACTTCCTCAAGAAGTATTTTGTAGCCATATCACTAAGAAATCGCTCAAAGAGACCTCCTAAAGGACAGTTTAAGAATTCTAAGGACTATGGATAGTTGATGAAAATTCAAGTTCGAATTTTCATCAACTTTTTTGTCAGAAAATTCTCGCGGCAAAACTTTGAAATTTTTATTTACGTTATAATTTTTTTTTTTGATTTATTGTTTTTACAATTTTAAATGCATTTGTAAAGATTGAAAACTACTTAAATATATTGTATTTAAGTGGTTTTAGTTTTATAAGGCTGTAAAAAGGTTTTTTAAATTGATTCAAATTACATCTTCCAATTTATGTAAACAAACTTGTTTGTTTACAATTTATGACAAAAATTTTCAATTGCAATTTTTTCATCTATTTGAAGCATAATTTAAGCTATGACAGTTGCAAATTGTTTATTATCACTGAATAATTACAGCAACATGCTTAAACAGAACCAAAAATGAATTAAAATAGGAATATTTGAGAATTTTTAAAAAAAGTCATTTTCGAACTTTCGTAAACAACATCGAAAAAGATGCGGAAAAATTCAAAATATTTATAGATTAACTGACAGCGTGCTATCCATAGTCCTTGGGACATATCTAAAGGATAGCATCAATTAATAGCCAAAAACCGAACCTAGAACCTTATGTAGAGTAGAAAAAGTTTCCCTTTAGTTTACAGCGCTTTAAAAAAATTATGATATTTTAAATCTTATTACACCACCTCGTTTCTAAATGTCTTTAACTTTTAAGAAGCTCATAAAGTTAGAAAATATATGTACTGTAAGTTTTCTTGCAGATAAAAATAACTGTTTTCCATTTCACTTCACAAATTTGCTTTTTTTTTTCTTCTTTTTCTTTAAATTACATAAAATACGAGCTAATAGTAAATGGTAAAGAAACAATACCCAGCATAAGTGAAGCATAAACACACGAAATCACATTAAGTTATTTTTTTTTATTATTATTTACTCTACTTCCACATCAGTTTTGCCTGCTTTTAAATTATTATTTGAAAATGTTAAGTTACTTGATCCGTTTTTAATTACAACCAATAGTTACTTAATATGCCTGCCGTATTTTCATTTCAATTATTGCATTCCTTAATCCTTTTTCTTTGACTTACAAAAATTTAAATTCTTCGACTTTTCGTCTTTACTAAATCAATATTTTCATTTCAAAAATAAATAAATGTGACATGAAAAATATTTATCTTCTTAATTGTATCATTAAAATTATCATTAATGTCTTACATGCTAATTTTATTTATTGCAAAAAATTCTTTTTTTTTCTATATCTTTTTTGAAATTGAGTTGAATAGCTTATAAATGGGCTTAATATTTAAGCACCCGTAAAATGGTATGGTGACGATTTTGTAGATGTGAGAAATTTAAGTATTCAAAATCATAAATATCATAATAGACTGTTAACGCCTTAAAAATATTCGAATTGATAAAAAATCATAGTTTTCTCCCCCTTTTTGTTCTTTACAAATTTTATTCTTCTTTCAGGTTTCAGACAACACAGTCATCAAAAAGTTTCTTTAATTTAATTATTAGCTATTCACGTTTGATTTTACACTATTAAGTTAAAGATTAACTTGATAAGAACTTTTCAGATGTTTACCAAACTTTTCACTGTCTACTTTAAGACAAGAAATCAACTTTATGTTTAAATTTATCTGAAGACCTTCAAAAAAATGCATCAACAAATTGAAGAAAAATCAATGCTTAAAATCTCATGGGTAGCTGTGTGTTTCCTATATCGGGATATCCCACTGGGAAATTCAAATTATTGAACAAAGAACCCAATAAAAAAGGTTCATCCACAAAATCGTCCAATTATCATAAATAAGCTACAAAATCATTAATCTATGTGTGAATTTTGACTTTCACGAATTAATGAGCATCTGACAAGCAGAGTTAAAAGGTTTTTTTGATGAAAAAATAATAAGAAAATTCGTTATTTAATGTTGTAAACAAATCCTTTGATAGAGACTTATTAAATACTATAGCGACCATTTTATTTATCTTTTATGGTAATTTAAAATGAAAAAATGTTGACTTAAATCTTCTTTTTTGTTCTTAAAGTTTTACCTTTTTGAATTCATTAGAAATTCAAGTTATGTGAACTCTGTGTATATGCATTAATTAGATTGAGTCTTCTTTAGAACCAAAAAAAAGTTTCTAATTAGTTTTCTACTTCTTCTTTCTTTTTGTAAACTATTAAATTCTAATTATATATTCTTATGGTACCTCATTATGTCTATTTACTGATTCTCAACCGAGCGACGATGATTTAAAGTTGCAGAAATTCTCTTGTTATAATTTGGTGATGGTTGATGATTCATTGTGGCATTCTTGATGTTCTTAGCTAGCGTTCGGCTATTGAGTGGTGGAATGACGACATTTGGATTAGCGATGCGAGTAGGTGTCGATATCATGCGTTGACGATTCAATGATAATGCTGGTGATGATCGGTAATGAGTACTGCTAATGGAACCATTACTCGGATAATATTCACCATTTGTGCTTGGATTTGATGAGAATTGTTGTGGATCTTGATATTCTCCGGATATACCAGAATCAATTTCTGAATCCAAATTGTTATAAGATCCAGCAACAATTAGTGGTGATGGATCTGCATAATCTTCGTAATCAATAAATCCATTATTTTCAAATTGACCCTTTAATGTACACAATTAATTGCTAATTATCACGATTACAGACAATAAAAGTTGTTAATTTACCTTATTTGGATTAATTGTAAGGTTCTTCTTTGGCGTTGTAAATGATTTATTCAAGTCATTAACACACGCTTGATAAGCCTTTCGATTGTAGTCAACAGCTTCGTAATGATCTTCTTGTGGATATGGTTCTGGTGCAATGAAATGTTGCGTTGTTCCTTGAGGCGTTAATGTTGCCCACAAAACAGGCAATGGTGGATTATAAGCAGGCATTAATTGAGAATTTCCCACTGTATATCCAAGTCCTTTATTGTTGCCATTCGCATCACGATCTCTTGGATATGTCATTTGATGCTTCAAGTTTGTATCATGATACGAGCAATCATTCTCACGACATTTCAATAAAATAATCGCCAATATAGTTCCAATGAATAGAACAGCACATACAATTGAAATCAAAACAAAGAACCATGGCTCATCGATGCCTATGTTTGCGTTACGTGGGAGTTCAATAAACTCGATATGATCCGATTGCCCATTAATTGTGGATTTACACATAAAAGCAGCAAAGCATGGCGCTGACTGGTTGTTGCCAGAAATCAATTCAGAGCTTTTTGGAAGTAGAAATGATGGTAATGGAGGTGGTGGAATGGTGAGGATTGAATTTGGTGGCTCTGCATTCACACAATCCAAACAAGATGTAACATCCTATATGGAAAATTGAAAATTATATTTTTAACACTAGAAGTGACCAAAAGTTTGATAATCCTGATGATTTTCAGTTACTCACTATAGTCATGCTTAATTTCCAATACTTTTGATGACTTTAAGCTAAATGGTACACAGAATATTCACAAATTTTTGAGAGAAATTACTCCACAGAAGGAAAAGTCAATGTTTAAGTCCGCATGCGCAGTTCAAAAATCGATATCCTTGTTTATAAATTTCTGAGAAGTACAACATTTCCGTTGCATGCAATTACACTTTGCAATTAATAATGCATATTCTGTTCACGATTTATGCCAATCAATTAATAATTTGGTTTCTTTTATTGATTGATCAATTGGATTGACACGTGCGTTGAATTTGACACGTGATTAATAAATATTCGGCATATTTGGTGCTCATACTGATTGATATGCATTGATTTTATAATTAAAAACAAGAAAGCATCATAATCAACCATGAAATATACCTTATTAAGTTAATTAACATTACTTTATCTTGTGAGCATTAACGGTTTTTTGGATGTAAACTGCACTTGACCCCTGACAGAAAGTCAAAGCGACGACTTTCGAATGCAATTCAAAACAAAAGTCGGTACTTTTTGAACGGATTTATGTGAATGTATGTGTAACACCAATACTATCAACATTCTGAGAATTGATTAAATAAATTCAATTTTTGTGGATAATGGACTGCTTTTCTTTAGGATCTATAGTGGTTATAAAGACGATGCACGATGATCTCATCGAGGGACAAGTTATGGCTTTCGATTTGAACACTAAACTCTTGATTCTAAGTAAGTATAACGCTGGAAATTGATATATTTTTCTTAGTACCGATTTTCAATGTTTATTATTTTTTGTGGATCTCTTAATTGATGATATTAGCTATCGGATGACATTACATATAGTAGTTCCGATAGTGCTGTATCTTGTAAACAGTTTTAATGACCTGTAATTGTGCTTTTTATGTCATTTTTAATTATTTTTCTTTTTTCTCCCATTTTTTTTTTAGAAAATGTTTCCGAGAATTCGAACAGACTTAATAACGTTTATATCATAAATTTGCCACACTGCAAAGATGTATCAGTTAAAAAGGAGTTAGTCGGTGCTGAAAGTGCAGAACCACAGTCGATAAATCTTCAAAGGGTTAGTATTTTTTGGAAAATTTCATCATTCTGCTGGATCTTTCATATGTCTATAACATGCATCTCATTTAATTGTAGCTAAGTAATAGAGTTCGTAATCAGGTTGAACAGAAGAAGAGATTGGTGAGTGCATTGAAAGCAAATGCTAGCGAGGAGGCTCAGAATCTCTACATATTTTTGGCCAAAATGCTTACAGTCGAACAAGGTTTGTGGAAGTAATTATGTCATTTTTGACACATTTTAAATGCGAAAATCATTCGTTTTAGTGTACTGGAATGGCATAGATATAGTCGTGTTTGATGATGTCGTTATTAGACCACCGTATCGTGTAGAAAATGTCGAGGCAAAGTCATCTGGAAAGCAACGTGAATTAGATTATATTAAGAAGCTTGTAATGAACCGACAGAAACAGATCAACAGTTTAGCAACTTCCAAAGCACCAGAAACGTCATCGACTAAAAATTGAATTCCTTCATTAACATTTTACAAAAAAAAAATTCAAACAATAAAGAGTAATTCCTTCTGCTGGTCTTTAAAAACAAAGGAAACGGTCCTTACAGAAGCTTCACATTCATTTTTCCTCCCCCCTTCATACCTGAATTAAAATATCCTAATTCTTCATTTTTGCTTCCGTCTATTCTTTTTTGGTTTGGAAAGTTGTTTTATAGAAATTTCCTCCTTCAGTTTATGAATAAATAGAAAATTATATAAAAAATCATGGAAAGTTCCTTTTCTTTTATTTAATATTTGCGTCTCTTAATAATATCTGGCTTCCAATTGACTGGATGACTTGATTCAGATGCCTCATCGTCTTCTCTATAAATTTTGATCGTCTTATCAGCTTCTGTTGTAATTAAACGTGATCCAGATTGATCGAAAATCATTGAAAATATTCCAGCTTCAGAATCCATTGATCCAGGCTGAACACTAGCTTGAATACGTTGGAAATTATAGCCAGTACGCCAATCCCAAAAATGCATGCTTCCATTGTCACCACCAGAAACTAAAACACCTTCTGAATTAACAGCCATGCAATTAACAATTGTATTATGTCCTGAAAGGTTCTGAACAAAATTTCCTTCTGGACAACGCCATTGTTTGATATTATCAGGACTTGCTGAAGCAAACATATATAGTGTTGGATGTAGGACAACACCTCGAACACTTTTTTTGTGATTTGTCAATGTACACATGCTTTTACCTGCTGCGAGATCCCAAAGTCTGTAAATTACAACTTATTCAATTAATATCAAATATTTATAAAGTCATTAATAGCTTTGATTCCTACCTTACTGTTGAATCGTGACTTCCAGTGATAATTTGAGGATTTGCTGCTTGAGTAACAACACTAGCAATCGTATTTGTATGACCACATAATGTATGAATGTTAGCCTTTGTTCTCATGTCCCAAATACGAGCAGTAGAATCACGTCCAGCAGTTACTAAAACATCAAGTGTTGGATGCAATGACATCGAGTAAACAGCAGATAAATGTCCATGATAATGTCTCACAACTTTATTATATTCCAAATCCCAACATTTAACTTGTCGATCTTCACCGCAAGAGAATAAATAAGGATGTCGAGGACTTATAGCTAATCCACGAACTGTGCTGACATGTCCAGTTAAAGAAAGCTTCAATTTTCCACTTGCTAAATCCCAAATTTTAATGACACGATCAGCAGCTCCAGTTGCAAACCATTCATTTCCCGGCTCAACAGCTACACATCTTACCCATCCTAAATGTCCACTAATGACTCGATATAATTTCCAAGGAGCATGCCATTTTGGTTTTGGAATCGACGAAGGTTTTTTCGGAATCAATTGTTGCTGACTTTGTGAGAAAGATTGTGGTATTGAAAGGAGTGCACTGGATGAAGTTGATTCATTAGTATTATTATTAGATTGGCTTGATGGAACTAGTGCCATTTCATTTCCTTTACTTTCTGTATGTTCTGTCGATTTACCAAAATAATCGGCTTTCTTTTTTTCCTGCTCAACTGCTGCTACACGATCAAAAATTGGACCATACGAGTCTCTAGCCTTAACACTATATCTCATTTTCTCTCTGCAATTATTTAATTTAATTCATTTCTGGATCTTTAATTTATAATTTTTTCACTTACGTTTTTTCATCGGCTTCTAAATTGAGAATTGATTGATTACTGACGAAGAAATCGTGGCTTCTTTTGAGCGAACGGAACACTAGCGTGTGTACTGAATGTCTTTGTACTTCCTCCATTGTCTTAAATTGTCATTTAATATTTTAATAAAGTGATTTTTACTCTACACGATTTCAAATGTTTGAATTGTTTATGTTTTTGCGGATTTAAAGTTCAAAAGAGTTCAAAAAAAATTCAAAATTTTTCGTAACGTTTAAATAAAGTTCAAAATTTTACAGTGCTGTAAATTACAAAATAAATCATTGATAGTCATAAGTTTAATATTTCAATTAAAAAATAAATCAACTTTATTGTAATCCTCAATTTAGTCCATTAAATTTAAATTTAATTCATTTACTTTTTCTGAAACTTTTTCTTCTTGCTGCTGTTAGTCGCTGGTGATGAATTCTTTCCATTGACTACTTTTACGTTCTTATCTTTTATAGGTGTTGAAACTGGAGCTTTTGGACTTCCATTTTGTTGATGGATATTTTTCTTTGCCTTCTTGGCTGATGGAACTGAAGCTATTGTATCACTTCCGTTTTCTTGTTGGATATTTTTCTGGTTTTGTTTCTTCTTGTTGCTATTTGCAGCTGGCGTTGAATTCTTTTCATTGTTATCTTTCTTGGGTGTTGACACTAAAGTTTTTGGATCAGTTTCGGTTTGTGGCTGGATATTTTTCTTGCTTTTCTTAGTTTTCTTCGTTTTTTCCGTCTTTAAAGGCTTTTCAAAAACATTTGTGACATAATTTTGTTTCTTTACTGGATCTTCTGGTTTCTTTTTCATTTCTTCTAGATCTTTATGGAACCAATCGCGTTTATCGACTCGTTTCTTCTTGCCTTCTTGATTTTCCTCTTCATTTTCGAGCTGTTCTTCGTCATCAATATCCTCTGTGTCATTTTCAGGAATTGTATCTGATATCTTTTGTAATTTAGCAACAAAGAATCCATCCATATTGTGTGTATGTGGATAATAACGTTTAGTAAGTTTCATTGATGGATGATATCGCTTTTCACGATAACTAGTGAATCCTTCTGTTCCAAAATCTAATCCAGTTGGAACTAAACGAACATTGCGTTTCTTTAAAGCATAATCAACAACCCATTCATTTTCTTCTGGAAGTATTGAGCATGTAGAATAGACTAAATAACCACCAGATTTAGATTTTGCTGATAAACAATCGATGGCACTAATAATCAATTTTCTCTGCAAATTATAGCAACGTTGAACATCAACTTGTGTCTTTGATGTCTTTACTGATGGATCTTTAGATATAACACCACTTCCTGAACATGGAGCATCAAGCAAGACACGATCAAATCCGCCAATAAATTTCTTATATTCAATTCCATTAACACAAGTTACAACTGAATTAATAATTCCTAAACGATGAAAATTACCGACAATAGCATGAATACGATCCTTATTAACATCATTTGAGAATAAAACTCCTGTATTCTTCATGATGGCTGCAATATGTGTGCTTTTACCGCCTGGAGCTGCACACATATCGAGAACTCTTTCATTTTCTTGTGGTGCTAATGCCATAACTGGAAGCATACTTGATGCACCTTGAATAATATAATGTCCAGCAAGATATTCAGGTGTAGCACCTAATGGAACTTGTGAGCTATAAATTGTAAGACCAACTTTTGACCATTTTCCAACTGGATCTAAATTAACACCGCGATTAATTAAAGCTTGTGCTAAATCACGTCTACGTGTCTTTAAGCTATTCGTTCGGATTGTTAATGGACGTTGAACTTCTGATGATTCCAAAAATTCAACAAGTTCATTTACTGGAAATACATCCATTAATGTCATCATGAGAAAGTCGTTATAGCTGTAATAAGTGCACAAATCTTTCTTCAAAACATCCACATATTCAGCTCTGGAACGTGTTGGATCACGATTAGCTGAAAAGTCCATAAGAATTGCTACTACATCCTTAATTCTTTGTTGGACATCTTGTAAATTTAATGCTTTATCGACATCTAGTGCCTCATCGAGGCTGAACTTTTCTTTATCTGCGATATTAAGTTGTAATTCATCTTCAGCTAATTTGTCATCCTTTTCCTTTTGAAGCTTTAATTTTTTACTAGCTTTTTCAATTGGCAACTTCCTGTCATTCTCGGAATCATCTCCTGACTCTTCATCGCTTTCTTGCTCATCACTTCCTTGCTGTTCCTGCTCGCTTTCATCGTCTGAATCAGCCAAAATGTCACGTTTTCTTTTATTTGATGGCTCTTGTTCATCTGAATCTGATTCTGAGTCTCCAGCTTGATCGAAATTATCAGGCATAACATCGCTGTCATCCTCGTCGTTACTTTCAAATTGATTTTCATCATCGCTTTCATCTGATTCTTCTACAGGAGTTTTTACCTGTTTAAATCCTTTTTTCATTGACTTTTCGACTTGCTTGATATCTTCATCTGATTCCATTTGTTCGTCATCACTTCCTGCCTCTTCAGATTCCTCGGAACTTTCATATTTGTTCTCTATTTTTTGTTTATGCTGTAACTTCTTTTTTGCAATAGCATTTGCATTGGCTGTTAGTAGTTTCTCCTTTCTGGCTGATCTCTTGACAAATCGCTGCTTTTGTCGATGAGACAGCTTCTTTAAATCTACAACTGTTTCTTCTGTAAGTTTGAAATCGTGTGAATATTTGAAAGAATTAAATTATTACTTGATTTTTTACCTGTTCCTAATAGTTTCTTGGAGAATTTTGGTGCTGGCTGTTTCTTTGCCTTCTTTCCAGGTCCTTTCTTCGGTTTTTCAGCAAAATTCACTTTACGTCCCATTGTATTTTAACTAATTTAACAAAATTATCGAGAAGCAATGTTTTTCACGTGTTTGGGTCTGTTGGTGTCTGTTCAGAAGTTTTGAAAAGAACGCACTCAAACTTTTTGGAGTGCGTTCAGTAGTAAATTCTCCGGTGAATTTGTAATTTTTATAAAATAATTAATATCTCTTAATTCCATTGAGTAGAAGTGCATCCATTAATCTAGATCAAATTGTGCGTGATACGGTCATCCTTCTATTAGGTAAGCATTATCTCAAACTGCTTAATTGTGTTTATTTTGAAGATTTAAGTTTTGATGACAAAATTATTAATTTTATTAAGTAAATCTAGCTCAATTGAAGGACATTAAGCATATAAATCTTTAAAATCAGAAACTTAGTGACATACTTATTCAGAATATTACATGCGCATTGTTATATTCTTTGTCATTTAAACGATTTTAATAAATTTTTCAATTTTGTTACACGTAATCCTTTTTTTACAGGTGACCTCAACTTTATTTTTAAACAAAAGGCAGGCAGGATGAGGCAATTTTCATTGATTTTTCTGCTAGTTATCAGCGTTATTCATACGTTGGCTGTGGACAAAAATAATTTTAAGACTTGTGATCAAGCGAGTTTTTGCAAGTAATTTAATTCACTGGATATGATTTTGATTCCATTGTTACTAACTGGATCTTATTTCTATCACTATACAGGCGATCCAGAAGTGTTCAACATGAAAGATCACCATTCGAAGTTAATATTGATACCTTAATCGTTAATCCTAATTATATTAATGTTGATCTTACGAACAAACATAATGGACAAATCTTTGATCTCAAATTGGAAGGAATTAAGGTAATAAGGAACAATAAAAATATTATTACAGCACTCATTAATAATCACTTAATTTACAGGGCAATACATTCCATTTTGAAATTGATGAGAAGAGTCCATTAAAGCCTAGATATCGAGTTGTTGATGCATTAAAAGGCGAACCAACTTATGAAGCTATTAAAGTGACTGCAACTGGATCTGATATCACAGTAAAATGTGGAGAAAATAAAGTCATCATATATGCTACACCGTTTAAGTTAGAATTCTACCAAAATGATGTTCTCACAATTAGTGCCAATAGTAAAGCTAAGATGCATTTTGAGCATTTAAGAAGAAAACAGGAAGCTCCACCACCGCCAGAAAACGAGAACGAACAAAATGAAAATGAAGCACAAGACCAAAATCAAGATGAGCCAGGAACTTGGGAAGAGAATTTTAAAAGCCATCATGATATTAAGCCTAATGGACCTTCAGCTGTAGCTTTAGACTTTACATTCCATCAAGCTAACATCTTGTTTGGTATTCCTGAACATGCTGATTCATTTGCATTAAAAACAACGGTTGGAAATGGAGATCCTTATCGTTTATATAATCTTGATGTCTTTGAGTACGAATTAAATAGCAGAATGGCACTTTATGGCTCAATTCCTGTTGTTTATGGACATGGACATAAATCAACAAGTGGAATATATTGGCAAAATGCTGCAGAAACATGGGTTGACATTGCAGGAACAGCAAGTGAACAAAATGTCATGGAATCGATTGTAAGTTTCGTAGCTGGATCTCGTCAACAAGATGCACCGTCTGCACATTTCATTTCCGAGTCTGGAATTATTGATGTTTTTGTAGTTCTTGGCCCATCACCAAATGATGCATTTAAACAATATACAGCATTAACAGGAAGTGGAAATTTACCACAAATGTTTGCTATTGGATATCATCAATGCCGTTGGAATTATAATGATCAACAAGATGTAATGCAAGTAGCAACTAAATTCGATGAACATGATATTCCAATGGATACAATGTGGCTGGATATTGAGTACACAGATAGTAAGAAGTATTTCACATGGGATCATCAAAAGTTCCCAAATGCAGTTGAAATGATGAAGAATCTTACAAATATGGGACGTCACTTGACATTCATTATTGATCCACATATTAAGCGCGATTCTGGATACTTTTTCCATAATGATTGCACTGATCGTGGCTATTATATTAAGAACAAAGATGGTAAGGATTATGAGGGATGGTGTTGGCCTGGAAGTGCTAGTTATCCAGACTTTTTTGATCCAGAAATCAGAAAGTATTATGCTGATCAATATTTATTGGAGAATTTCAAGGAAAATTCACGTGATACTGGAATTTGGAATGACATGAATGAACCATCTGTATTTAATGGACCAGAAATTACAATGCCCAAAGATAATCTTCATTATGGAGGCTGGGAGCATCGTGATGTACACAATCTTTATGGTCAAATGCAACTTGTTGGAACTTTTGATGGATTATTAAGACGTGCTGAGAATGAATTACGTCCATTTATTCTTACTCGTGCTCACTTTTCTGGAACTCAACGATATGCTGCTGTTTGGACTGGAGATAATGCTGCAGAATGGGGACATTTAGAGGCATCAATTCCTATGTGCTTATCACTTTCGGTTGCTGGAATTTCATTTTGTGGAGCTGACATTGGTGGATTCTTTGGAAATCCAGAGACTGAATTGCTTTATAGATGGTACCAAACTGGAGCTTTTATTCCATTTTTCCGTGCTCATGCTCATATTGATACAAAGAGACGTGAACCATGGTTATACCCAGATGATGTTAAATTAATTATTAGAGATGCAATTAGAAAACGATACTCGTTCCTGCCACTTTGGTATACAATGTTTTATGAACATGAACGTAGTGGATTGCCTATTATGAGACCACTTTTATCTCAATATCCACTTGATAAGAATGCTTATAATATTGATAATCAATTCATGTTAAGTGATAAGTTGTTGATTCGTCCTGTTATGCAAAAAGGAGCTTCAAAAGTTGATGTTTATTTCCCATCACGCAATGGTGACAAACAAGCTGATATTTGGTATGATATTGATGACTACCGTAAAATTGAACGCGTTGGTGTTGAGTCAGTTACAGTTAATACTTATAAGGTTCCTGTCTATCAACGTGGAGGCACAATTATTCCGAGAAAAATGAGAATTCGTCGTTCTGCTATTTTGATGGAAAATGATCCAATTACTTTGATTGTTGCTGTTGATTCCGATAAACGTGCTAAGGGAACATTGTACATTGATGATGAAAAGAGCTTTGCTTATCGTCAAGGCAAATATCTGTACATAGAGTTCGAATTCATAGATGGTGTTTTATCAAGCCAGTAAGTAGCTTTTAAACGTATTTTTAAATTTTAAAAAATAATCTTCAAATTATTTTGATGACCGTTCAAAACACCTAAAGTTTTTTACCTCTAAACATTTCAAATTTGGGCGATTCTCCAGAACGGTGGAATTTTTCAAAATGAGCTTTTATAATTCGTTGTCAATTATGCTTACATCATAAATATGTATTCTGCAATTTCTTTCAATATAGAATGATTTGAAATTTTAAATTAGTTTACAATCATCACTAATAATTTAATTTTATTATAAATGATGAAATTTGTCAAAAGTGTAGCTTGAAAGTTTAGAATTACAGTAATTTCGATCAAAAAATTTTGTAATTTTTTAACGGATTAGGAAAATTTAAGCTCTTGCGTTGCTTTGTGACATAAAGTTGACGTTCGGAGAATCGATTCATCTCGATAATTAAGCTATTTTACTGGAGTTTGGAGCATAAATATTGTAAAACAGATCTTAATCTATCATTTAGCGTACATTTAATGCTGCAAAGATGAGTATTTGGTACAAAATTTTTGAAACCCCTGTTAAAACTTTTACAAAATTCCATTTTTGGTCACAAAGTAACGGACCGAAGAATCGAAATATCTTAATAATTAGGAAAATTCATGCTTAGCAAAATAAATTAATCGATAGGAAACAGAAAATTACATCAGATAAACTGAAAACCTTGTAAGGTTTAGTGGAAAATTTCGACAAAAAATTTATTTAAAGTCAAAATTTTTGCAATTCACCCTACAGAGAATCGCTCAAAACCTAAATTTTCATATATATACATTTATATATCTCTGATGTAGACCTGGAAAAAATGTAGAATTGTAGACATCTACATCGAATCTTTATGTAGACAGAATCTTTATGTAGAAATAATCTTTGTGTAGATCAGATTTTCTATCTTCATGTAGAATCGATCTTTATGAAGAAAGTTTCTTAGCTAGACAAAAACTATTGAAGAATCTACATTCTTCATCTAGTGTAGACATCTACATTTGCAACACTGTTCCTAATGAAAAAAAATCATTAAAAGTAACAAATGTATATAGAGATTAAAAACTCGAATTGCAGAAAATTAATTCTCGGATTTAAATTTAAGCTTTTTGCTGGATTAACCAATTTTGATCATTTAAACGGTTTTGAGTATGTTATTGACAAGACTAATAACATAAATGGACAATTCTATCGGTTGACGCTTTCAAAAAAATCGTCAATGAAACATTTTTTATCGTTATTAAGCTATCTAGTCGTTCTTAGCACCAAATATACTTATGTATGGCGATAAAGTATCCATTTGTTGCAGTTGGTTCCTTCTACATGCTTTAAATTACAAAATATTTGACTTTTTGTAAGCGTTGCAATTGTACAGAATGCAAAATTTTGAACTTTTATCAAAGGTTTTCTACTTTCTAAACGTCTAGACAACTTCAAACTATTGATTTACAGTTTGTTACACATTTGTTGTTTTATTAATGTGCATACTTAATTTACCTTGTAAAGCACTTATTGAGTACAAAAACGAAGAACTTTAATTCAATTTCTGTACAAGTGCAACGCAAAAGAGTTTATTTTCCTAATCCGTTAAAAAATGATTTTAAAAAAATAAAATTTTACTTAAATTAACAACATATTTTTTGATTAGAATGTTGTTTATGAAAATATAATAGTATATGAATATGTTAAGCTGGTTTTCGTAAAGCGTAAGTTTAGTTAAATTAAAGTATTCAAAAATTTATCTATCTGTTTATCTGTCTATGTGTCGAAGTCATATCTTGCGATCGAGTTTTCGACCACTTCTACTGCTCCAATACAATATTCATATTTTAAATGAAGTTAAAGTTCTCAAATATTGCGACATATTTTATGAATGCGCCCATTTTTTAAGATGTAGAACTATACGATATGGTCAAAGTAAACGAATTTCCAATTCATGTATGGCTCTATACTGAAACTTTCAAAACTGTGGTTGGCAAACGGATCTTATTTTTAGAACTTAATCCGTTATAAATTTTAGCCAAACAGAAAATTTTGTGAATTTTAAGCCAAAATCTTTTGGATTTCTTACAGAAAACAATATTTAACACAAAAAAAATGTGCATTCTTTGTTTTAAACTCAATTCAACCGGTAAAACTTTAAAAAATTCTATGTTGAATTTTGAGCATTATAGCTATGATAACTACTGTCAACTAGCTTAGAATCAAAGCTTGTTATTATTTATGAACATTGATAAGCTTTAAAATCATGAATATCAAGAAACAAAAGAGTTTTTTGCAGAAATATTTTCAAGAAATTTTTACACTTACACACTTACATTTTTTTGTTGACATTTTTCAATTTCAACTGAATTTTCTTAACTTAGGAATTATCTTACTTAAAACAATGATTAACAACTTACTGATCACATAATTAATGATACTGATCGAAAAGCTTCATAATCTGTAGCTTAATTAAAGCAAAATTTTGTTTTATGCTTTAACGGAAAATAAATTTTGAATTTTTCAAAATTTTACATAACTGCCAACATTTGAAATGACGCAAGTCTGGTTTGGGAAACCTGTTAACAGAAAACAGAAAAACAGCTGTTTTTTGACAAAAATCTGTTAACAGAAAACAGGTCTCAAAAACAGATCTGTTTTCTGTTTTTCATTTTAAAATATAATTTACAGAAAAAAAAATTCTTAATTTTTTGAAGAACTTAATATAGTTTTCTAGAATTCCAAATTAAAATGTATTTACTATTTTAAATTTTTTTGGATGTTTAAAAGGTTTAAAATCATTATCAAATTTTTGATTAATCATTATTAATTTTGCAATCGAAATTTTAAATTTGTTGAACCTTTTGTAGCATTTACTAAAGTTCAAAAATATAATCAAAACAATTTTACAAGATATTTTTTTATTTAGATAGCTTTTTTTGAATATTTTAAATAAAATATTAGAGTTTATATATTCTGTTATATTTTTTAGAGTTAATTAACGAAAAATTAAGAAATAATAATGATTAGCTCTAGAATGTATGCATAACTGGTTATAACCACAAAAAAGTTTCATTATCTTAGAGAAACACTTAGGATAACTCAGTTTATTTTGAATTCCAGAAAAACAGGAAAACAGCTGTTTTTAAAAATCAAAAACCAAAAACAGACTGTTTTTCAAAAACAGCTGTATTCCACAAACCCTAATCGTTATAAAAGTTGTAGTGTTCGAAATCTCACCAAAAAACACGTGAAAAAAATTTTCTCAGAGAAAACTTGATTTGAAATCTCGCGATTTTTAATTTTTCAATTAAAGATTTTGTAAATTTTTATAAAGATTATCTTTTAACCTTTCAAATCAAAAATGATTTAAAATTTTACGTAAAAATTTGATTTTTCTTTTGTAAAAATTTTTAAAACTTTTGTTTTATAAAATATCAAGAACTTTATTTTTTAATTCAAAATATTGATTTTATCACAGCTTTATTAGAGATGCATTCGAATGATCATAATTTCTATTTAAAATTCAAAAATTTTCAAATTTTTGGAAATTACAATGGGCATGTGAAAACACTTATTTTTAACATTTAAAATTTTGTAAAGAAAACTGTAAGTTAAAAAGAATTCTTAAATTATTTGGTAAAAACTTACTGGTTATTATTATTTTACTTTTTAAAATTAACAAGATTTGTGAAAAATTCTAATCCTGAGATTACGGTATTGGAAAATTGGTCCGTACCCCGGGATCCCGAAAACCGGATTGAAATTCCTATTCAAAACCGTTTAAATGATCAAAATTGGTTAATCCAGCAAAAAGCTTAAATTTAAATCCGAGGATTAATTTTCTGCAATTCGAGTTTTTAATCTCTATATACATTTGTATATAGGTTTTAAAAACTGCACGTGCAGTGACAGGTCGTCACCTGTTGACAGGTAGAAAAAATCTACCTGTCACAGGTTTGACCTGTCACCTTTGACTATCGAAATTTTATTCTTCTTGTGAAGTATAAAGATTTCATAAAAAATTCATCAATTTTTTTTCTTCCTCAAGTAACGGGTTCAAATCTCACCGCAAGCAACTTTCTTTTTTTGCATTTTTATGATTTGTTTTTAAACTTTTTTGATATAACATTAAGTTTTATGACAAAGTTTTCCATTTTCATATTTTATTTCTTCACTTTCTATATTTTAACATGTATTTTAAATTTTTTCCTTATATTTTCATACAAATTTAAATTTTTTGTCATATTTTATACATATTTTATTTTAACAAGATGAAATCTGACACAAAGGCTCTTTTTCTAGATCTGGATGTTCTAAAATCGTAATCTTGGATCATAAAATGGCATAAAATATTAAAAACTAGTAAAGACTTTGTCATTCGAGACCGCAAAAAGTCGAAATATATAATAAATTATAATCCAAGATTACGATTTCAGAACATCCAGATCTAGGAAAAGAGCCTTTGTGCCAGATTTCAGCTTGGTAAACTAAAATATGACAAAAAAAAGTTGAATTTGTATGAAAATATTTGGAAAAAATTTAAAATACATGTTAAAATATAGAAAGTGAAGAAATAAAATATGAAAATGAAAAACTTTGTCATAAAACTTAATGTTATATCAAAAATTTTTAAAAACAAATCATAAAAATGCAAAAAAAGAAAGTTGCTTGCAGTGAGATTTGAACCCGTGACTTGAGGAAGAAAAAAAATTGATGAATTTTTTATGAAATCTTTATACTTCACAAGAAGAATAAAATTTCGATAATCAAAGGTGAGGCCTGCGACAGGTCAGAGCTGTGACAGGTGGAAAAAATTGACCTGTGAAAAGGCAACGGCCTGTGACAGGTGATCTTTTGACAGAAACTGTCACCTTTACCTGTGACAGGTACCTGTGGTCGCAACTCTGATTTAGGTTTTATAAATTTGAAATGTTTATAGGTAAAAAACTTTAGGTGTTTTGAACGGTCATCATTATTTTGTGTTGTAAAATTCAAATTTTTAATCTAACGAACTTTTCAAAAATAATTTCACAGATTGATTGACGAAACAGCATCTTACACAACCAAAGTATGGCTTGAACGTGTGATTATCGTAGGACTTGACAAAGTTCCATCAAGTGCCACACTTAGAGCATCTAATAATCAAGCTACACAAGTCGATATTATCGACGCTTCAAAGACTGCATTCACAATTCGTAAACCAGGCGTTAGTTTGATGGAACCAACATGGTCGATAACGCTTAACTATTAATTAAAGACACGTAAAAATATAGATTCTGTATTCAAATTTAACTATTTAGCTCAAGATTCATGAGGAAACTTAGAACAGCTCTTAGATAAACAAAACTTTTATAAAATGAGAAATTAAGCATAATTGAATTAAGGATAGACAAAAAATTTAAAGCTTCATCCATCAAAAACAAATTTTAATTTTAAATCTGCATAACAAAGTAAATTGTGAATTGTAATGTTAAATGTGAATCTGTGGTTTAAAGCTATAAAAAATGCAGCAAAGTTTAAAAAGTTTCTGTCAAAAAATGTTCACAGTTTGATTTAATTTGAGGTAAAATACAATTGTATTTTGTTCATAGGCATTAAAATAAATAAATAAAAATTACTGATAATTAAGAGTTTTGGTATTTTTAAAGATTTCCAATTAAAATTTTTACGTACGCATTTGCTTACGTAAATTTAAAATTTAACCGTTAAATCACTCTCCACAATTTGTATTGCCTTTGCCTTTAATCATTCGCATGTTATACCTTATATCCCTCAGATTTCTGTTATGTCTATAGAACCGCGTTGCTATGTACACTTTTAATACCCGTAAATTCGTTTCTATGACAACATTGGCACTTGTTTTCTAAACAATACAAAGGACTTTAAAGCAACATTACATAAATATTGAGTGTGATTTTATATCCCATAAGAAATGATCTTCAATGGCTGAAGTTTATATTTTTGGACAAATTTTAAGTGCAGAAAAATTTCGTGAACCAAACCTTTTTTGTCGGTGGAACATTCAGGCTGGTAAATCATAACAATCTAAAAGTAAGGCATTCGATTGAATATTTTATAAAATTTAAAGGCTCACTGTGGAAATTCGTCGAAGGAGAATCTGAAGGACAAACAGCAACTGACTGCAATATTATTGATAACATATCGTATTTCGGGCATCCAATTGATTTACATCTAGCTACTCGTGGCATTCAAGGCTGGCCAAAAATAAGCATTGAAATATTTTCTGTGAATGCCTTAAAGCAGTTTTGTCCCGTCGCTATTGGATTTACTTACATACCAACAAAACCAGGCTTCCATCAACTCAAAATTGCAACTTGGCGTCTTGCTCCGCAAACTTTTATCGATTCCATTAAGGAGAAGTTCTTTACAGGTGGATTTACAATTGTTAAAAAGGACTTGATTCATACAGGAATCGATAGATACAAAATCTCAACAATTTCATCAGGAACTGTCAATTTAGAACTGAATATTGTCTTTAAGAACTTCCGGAAATACAACATTGTGTTTGATTAAAATGCAGAACATTGTTTGCTTTGCTATCTTTATAGTAATTGCCATAGCTGCTTGCGATGATAACGTGACAACAGTAGAAGTTACTACATTATCTGTACCAACATCATCGTCTTCTCCTGCACCAAGTACATCAACTTTATCGACCAGCACAACTGTTAATACATCATCAACTGCTGTTCCAAAGTTTGAAAATTCCACAAAATTGATTCAAAATCCCTCAAATAGGACTAAACTTTTGAATACAACAAGTTATGTATGCAGCTGTGATTTAACGGTATGATTCCTTTTTAATTTAAATTCACGATTTATTAATATTGCTTCAATATTTATAGCTCAACTGTGACATCAATTGTTGCTGCGATATCGATTGTAATGCAGAGATTATTGAGGCATTTGATTGCTCCTTACGAGTTGATATTGACGATTTCTATCATGGTGAAGGTTTGGAGAGATGCAATGGCGATAATGGTCTATTGTGCATTGCTCATGATAACATCCCTTCAATGGATCAGAAGGTAAAATTTTGAGTTTTAACGGTTTTCAAAATTTTGAATTTTAATAGGTTTTCAAAGTTTTGAATTTTTAACGGTTTTTTATCTATTCAGCTACACACGCCCTACTATTCGGAATATTCATCATACAAATGGCCAAAAATCATTCAATCCCACGAAACAGAAGCTAAATATGAATTTTCATCCCATGAATTCTACAAATTTGGAGATGCAGTCATGACTTATAATACAAAAATTGAAAAATACTCAGCAATAAATTTGCCAGCAATAACAATTGGAGATTACTCAAATTGCTTCCTAACTGAACCTGTGATGTTTCTAAAATCCAAATCAATTCAATGTCTAAGATCCTATAATGATTTATGTTCATATAACAATAATTTAATGACACAATTGATGCATTCTCGTTTATTCCAACAACCTCCAAAGTCATCATCAAGCCAAGAAGGTTTAGAGACTTTCAATGTTATTATTGAGTCGTGTAAATATTCTTTTGATAATTGCACACAAATTACAGTCAGCAATAGAAGTAAAATTGATGAGATTCAAGAATATTTATATGATGAAGTGTACGAAGACATCCAATTGACATTTCTTATTAATGACACAAAAATACTGTCTGCAACAATCAAATTTGGATGTCATAATGAACTAATATGTAACAATAATGATGAGTTGGAGACGACAAAGATTATACAAAATATCAATGTCAAGTTTGAGAATGTAAATGAAAATCGGACGGAAAGAAGAATTAGAAAGAAACGACGTGGCTATAGTGATAATGAATTAATTATTGCCTCACGTCTGCGACCATTAAATGAATCAATAATAGTTCCATCATCGAGCACAGAAATGATTTTCGATTATTTTCGAAATGACTCAATTTTGGACAAAAGCTACTTTTTGAAACTTCCAGAAATAAGTGAGAATGGGAAGTGTGTGATGACTGCTGGCAAGCATGACTTAATCAGATTTAATGAGAATTCACATACATTCTGTACTGCTGACTTGACAGGAGATTTGAACTCAAATTTTACAATTTGTCAGCAGTTCCAACATCAATTAATGAATTTCTTATTAAGTGCTGTAAATTTAACCACAAACTATACACTTGATGGCTACATATCTGACGTGTTTATGTCAAAATTTTGGACACCACAATATGATAAGAAGTCATGGATTCGAGCAAGCTTGCATAACATTCCATTATGGGCACCAGAAATGCAGGAAACTGAGAAGATCATGACATGCTTAAATCTTGTAACAGCAGCAAGCTACAAGTTCCTTTATTCAACCACAAGATCTTCCGGTGTTAAGAAATATGAGCATTTTATTGAAAACTTAATAGTCGCATTTGACAAGCTAGAGGAACTCCAATTCACTTTAGATGACGCGAATCAGACAACACAAAATGTAAAAATTCAAATTAATGTGCAATTCGTAAATTTATTCAACAAGAATCATGCAAATGCAATTTTAGTGATGAATATTTATGCAATGATTTTGTGCATTTTATTAGCCTCAATGGCTTCTTAGCTGTAAATTATGCTTAAATGTCTATATTTGTAAAGTATTCATTGTGTGGTGGTTTAGTTTGCACAACTAATAATCAAGAGTGTAGGTTGGTAAGGTAATTAAGTATGTGGTTTTAATTACCATAATTTTCTTGTCAAAGATATATAATGTAGATTACACATATCAACTGCTGATTTAAGATTAGATTGTAAAAGTCAAGTATATTTTTAAGCATAATAAAGTGATGAACTTTAAGTCTAAAAATCAAGAGAATTTTTTGAGGTTAGAAGCTTCAATTGTTTAAGATAAACAATATGGAGGGATCGAATTTAGGATGTTAGAAGCAGGTTTGCGATACAGGCACCTGTGCACAGGTGTGAACCATACAATTCCTTTATAATTTGTGTGGTTTTATTAGAATTTGTATGGTTTTGTTTAAAAAACCTCATAAATTATCAAGGAATTGTACGGTTCTCACCTGTGACAGTTGTCTGTATCGCAACCCTGGTTAGAAGTCAAACATTCAACCATCTGCATGTGTATTGAACCAAAACCTTAGAAATCTTATAAGCCTAATAACAAGGGTCCCGCAAATTATCTTTTAAAAACGAAGATTACAATCTTCGTATGGGATTATTTAAAGCCTTGCATAATAATCTATTATTTATGGCCTCTATTAAGTTACACAATTTAACTTTTTTAATGGAACAAAATCTCAATTAAGATAAATTGTCAAAAATCCTCTTTTTCTGCTCTTAAGGAATCCATCAAAGTGCTAAGGTCCAAAAACTAGACTACAACCTCATTCAAGAGTGTTTAACTTATCAAGCACGTTTTGAATGACTATGGAGAAGCATAATAAGAAGGTATAACGTAGGAATGTCCTTGATTCATTGAATTTTTATATTCACACCGTTTTCACGTGTGAATCTATTGGTTTTGTTCAGATTGAAAAATCAGTTTTTCACATTTTGTGAGAAAACAAAGCAAAATTGGTTATAAAAGGTCACAGAAGAAAAGTTTGTGCCTGAAATTTTACATCATTTTCAAAAAACAGATTTCAAATTGATTGAGGCATTGCTGAGAAAATCGCAAAATACGCTTTCTGTAAACAAACAAGCAAGCAAGCAAGTTAATCAGCAATAACGAGACCTTGTAGAGACTTCTAGTTTTTTACATTTGATCCGTGCTGCTCTATAGAAGAGCTGTATTGTTTTTGGGCAAGGTAGGAACAGCCGTTGCTTCAGAAAAAGCAAAAAACTTTCCTTTCTTACGAATATTTCAAATTAAAAGTTCACTGTGATTTTTTTTTATTTCAAACTTTGGATGAAAAAAATTTTTTTGGGTAAAGAACCAAGTAGGAAATACATTTTCAATTATGAACTTGGGACAGGTCCAGTCAAAATCTAGTTTTTCACTTTTTTTCTTCGAAGGTTTATCTAATTACAGTGAAACTTTGTGTGAGTATACTAATATTTATACAAAACAGTTTTAAATATCTAAAGCAAGAAATGTATTCTATATGTCGTCAGACCCAAATTTTATAAATTTGGTTGTACATTCAAAAACAACGTGACTTAAAATTTTGTCCAAAAAATGATTTTTATTAATTCAGAAATGTGTGACCTGAAGATTAGAATGCTCATACAAAGTTTTACTGTATTCGGATTTATCCTCGAAGAAAAAAGTGAAAAACCAGATTTTGACTGGACCTGTCCCAAGTTCATAATTGAAAATGTAAGTCCTTCTTGGTTCTTTGCTCAAAAAAATTTTAGGATGTTTTATTTGTATTTGTTTTATACATTAAAATATTTATGCAAAGTTTCAATCCATTTGTATAAACCCTCGAAGAAAAAAGTGACAAAATTGATTTTGACTAGGGTCGCCACTAGTCCAAAATTGAAAATGTATTTCCTACTCGGTTCTTTGCTCAAAAAAATTTTAGGATGTTTTATTTGTATTTGTTTTATACATTAAAATATTTATGCAAAGTTTCAATCCATTTGTATAAACCCTCGAAGAAAAAAGTGACAAAATTGATTTTGACTAGGGTCACCCCTAGTCCAAAATTGAAAATGTATTTCCTTCTTGGTTCTTTGCTCAAAAAAATTTTAAGGATGTTTTATTTATATTTGTTTTAAGCATTAGAATATTTATGCAAAGTTTCAATCCATTTGGATAAACTCTCGAAGAAAAAAGTGACAAAATTGATTTTGACTAGGGTCGCCCCTAGTCCAAAATTGAAAATGTATTTCCTTCTTGGTTCTTTACTCAAAAAACTTTTAGAATGTTTTATTTGTATTTGATTTAAGCACTAGAATATTTATGCAAAGTTTCAATCCATTTGGATAAACCCTCGAAGAAAAAAGTGATAAAATTGATTTTGACTAGAGTCGTCCCTAGTCCAAAATTGAAAATGTATTTCCTACTCGGTTCTTTGCTCAAAAAAATTTTAAGGATGTTTTATTTATATTTGTTTTAAGCATTAGAATATTTATGCAAAGTTTCAATCCATTTGGATAAACCCTCGAAGAAAAAAGTGACAAAATTGATTTTGACTAGGGTCGTCCCTAGTCCAAAATTGAAAATGTATTTCCTTCTTGGTTCTTTACTCAAAAAACTTTTAGAATGTTTTATTTGTATTTGATTTAAGCACTAGAATATTTATGCAAAGTTTCAATCCATTTGGATAAACCCTCGAAGAAAAAAGTGACAAAATTGATTTTGACTAGAGTCGTCCCTAGTCCAAAATTGAAAATGTATTTCCTACTCGGTTCTTTGCTCAGAAAAATTTTAAGGATGTTTTATTTATATTTGTTTTAAGCATTAGAATATTTATGCAAAGTTTCAATCCATTTGGATAAACCCTCGAAGAAAAAAGTGACAAAATTGATTTTGACTAGGGTCGTCCCTAGTCCAAAATTGAAAATGTATTTCCTACTTGGTTCTTTGCTCAAAAAAATTTTAAGATGTTTTATTTGTATTTGTTTTAAGCATTAGAATATTTATGCAAAGTTTCAATCCATTTGGATAAACCCTCGAAGAAAAAAGTGACAAAATTGATTTTGACTAGAGTCGTCCCTAGTCCAAAATTGAAAATGTATTTCCTACTCGGTTCTTTGCTCAAAAAAATTTTAAGGATGTTTTATTTATATTTGTTTTAAGCATTAGAATATTTATGCAAAGTTTCAATCCATTTGGATAAACCCTCGAAGAAAAAAGTGACAAAATTGATTTTGACTAGGGTCGTCCCTAGTCCAAAATTGAAAATGTATTTCCTACTTGGTTCTTTGCTCAAAAAAATTTTAAGATGTTTTATTTGTATTTGTTTTAAGCATTAGAATATTTATGCAAAGTTTCAATCCATTTGTATAAACCCTCGAAGAAAAAAGTGACAAAATTGATTTTGACAAGGTTCGCCCCTAGTCCAAAATTGAAAATTGATTTTCTATGGTGTACTTTTGTCAAAAAAATTGTTTGGATATTTTATTTGAATTGACATAATTTTGACATAAATTACATACCAATATTACTTTTTGTAATGCATAGCTTAAAAAAAATCGAAATCTAAAATTTCGACTACCCCATCTGAATTTTGTTCATACTCTTCACTGTGGAAACCAAAAAACAAATTCTTTATCTTAAAACACTTGACAAAATAGCGACATAATTCAGGATTAATTACTTTTTAATAATATTTTAACATTTACGAGAAAATGTGGTTCAAATAAATGTAAAGTATGGCCAAGATTTGGACCAAAATCAGCTATAATGGTTCATAGTGTTCCCGAGGGTGACAAAATTCAAACTAAGTGTTTTTGTAGCTGACATAAAGTATCTAGGCAGTACAGTTAATAAAGTAAATAAGCAGCACATAGTAAAAATCTACGAGAATGTTCCAAAACTGCATTATCGTAACGGCATCATCAATTTTAAACTCATTCAAGTCCGAAGAAAGTCAATCATCAACCCAGTTAAAAAATCATAGAAGGCTTGTCATTTAAGTTTGTTTCCAAATTTTTCTTCATTATTTCAACTCGTCAATTTCTAAAGTTTCAAATTTAAAGGTAATTAAAGGAATTTTAAGAAGTTTAAGTTTTTACATCCAACGGATGTTTCAAAAAGTTTCCGAATTTTCGTAAATCTAGCAAAAATAAAGTTTTTTGGAGACGACAAGAAAGTCTACAAGTTTAAAAAAAACTTTATATTTGGGTAATATTCAGTGAAAAACTTTACAAAGATTAAAAATTTAATGCGAATATCTCCCTCGAATATGAGATTGAATGTGTGACAAATTTATCAGAAATGCATAATACACAAAAGAAATTGCAGAATTTATGATAAAGTGTAGCTGTATTGTCTCAAATTTAATAAAATCTGCAATTTTTGTGCGAGAAGAAAAAAAAACTTTTTTATGTGCGAAAGTGAAAAAGTTTCCCAAATGGATTTTAATGAAATGTTAAAAAAATAACAAAAAAAAAATTGATAATATGACAACAGTCAATGTCAGTAGTCAACATATTAATCAGATAGTCAATATCGTGTAAAGTCAATCGGAGCCAAAATTAATAAGAAAAATAGAAAAATTTCGTTTCTTGTTTTTGTTTTTCTTTTGTCATATGAAAATTGTGATTTAATTAATAAAAAGGAATAAGAAGTAAGAAAAATTGAAGCTTGTTTTGAGACAAAAGAAAGGAATAATCAGTGCACAGTGAGATAATCATTATCAAATATTTAAATAAAAATAAAATAAAATAAAATAAAGAAGAAAAAAAGAAAAGAAAAAGTGATAAATAGAAAGTGAGAAAAAATGGGAGCTAAGGCAAGTACAGCTGCTGGAAATCAAAGTCCCCGAACATTTTCAAATTCATCGAGCAGTGATGTGGTATCAGCTGGTAATAATGCAACGAGTTTCAATTTTTTGCGTGCCATTAACGGTGTAGACGCAGTAGCTGCTGATTCACGACAAAGAGCACGAAGTATGTCTGCTGTAGCCGATTTAAGTGATATTCATTCAGCTTCCTCTTCCTCAAATCATCATCATAACCATCATCATTATCCTCAAAATGCATTTTCCACTTCCATCCATCATCATCACATTGTTAATACTCAACAACAGCCATATGATGTTGTTAATGGTTTTCCAAATGTAGGTGCTGGTGCTCACTTCGATCTCTCATCAAACAGTCCCGAGGAAAGCAATCCACATGATGAAAACAATCAAATGCATGCGCTGGGTATCGGACGGGTCGTAGCAACATCATTGCCTTCTCACATTTGGTCCTTAAATGGTGAGTCAAGTCAGCCTATTCATGATTTATTTTTAGAACAACACATGCAGTTTCTGCTTTAGAATTATTTATTTATTCAGTTCTTATGAATTGTGGTTGATACCCGACCTCCACTGATTGAACTCAATTTGTGAATAAGGTTCTGTGACTGTATGAGTGTGTCTGGATGCATAACACAATTTTTTTTTTATTATTTTGTCTGTTTCTATTCCTTTTTTAATACTTTGAATAGCCATATGACATGAATAAAATGTCATACTCCTTCACGACCTGTGAATCGACTACTGTTTCCAAAAAAAAAGTTTATATCGACAAATGGGCACTCTCGTTGCTTGCTTTGTTTCACATAATGAGTATATCTCGATATATACATTGTTTTTCGTGTATGTTTCTTCTATTATTATAAGCAGTGACATTTATCAGCGCAATTATTTTTTGATGAGTACATTTCGATTGTGTTTGAGGCATTGGCGAGGAAACAATTAACGATCGGAAGTAATAAAGTCATTCGAGAGAATAAAAAAAGGGATCAAATGAGGCGCAATAGAACCCTTTCCATGGAGAGCGACTTTTAAGGTGAATGAATCATTTAATGAGATTGCAAAGTTTATAGCAAAAAAATAATATCTCATTTTATTGTCACTCACTCTTTTTATTGCAAATTTGAATTTTTTAAGCTGTTTAATGACGACGATTGGAGTTGATACTTTTTGTATGAGTTTTTTTTTTCATGACTGTTTATTTAGATGTTTTGAGATTCTTCTGTATGAACTCATAGGTTTTTTTGAAGAAATTTTTGCTCATTCTGTGTGATTATTTGAAATTATTCGAGTTTATTGACATTTCTTTAAGAATTCTTCTTTTAATTTTGATTAAACTGTGTTTACATCTACAAGATTGAACATTAGATGCTAGGGTTTGTCTTAAAAAACACTTGATACTTTAAAATACAATCGAATCTTGCTGTAGACAAATTATGATAATTTTTAAGGGCCTGCAACTACTTAACTTAATTTTAATCAACGCAGGTTTTACTTACCTATTTGAATAAATTTGTTTGTTTACATAAGATTCATTTTACAAATAAAGTTATTAAAAACTCTGGATATTTCAACTTAAAATCCTTTGTCCCGAAACCTTCATCAGTTGTTTTTTGACATAGAACACCATTTGTGAATGATTTTTTCCAAATCTGAATTCATTATTCATAATTAAGCTAATTTCTTTGTGTATTTGTTTATTTAATAATTAAAAATCATTTTGTTGACAAAAACAGTCACAGTTATTAGAATATTTTGTTGTCATGGACTCTTAAGCTATCAAAAAATACTTTTCTCTGTATCTTTAAATATTCAGCTGTAAAAATGATATATTGAAAGATAAAAATATTGTTATCAATCAGTCATTCTGGTTCAACAGATCAAAAATCATCCTTTGGGTTTTGTGATGCGAATTTTAAAAGAATAAAATTTTCCTTACAAAAAAGACAGAAAACTCTTGTGAACTTAAAGAAAAGATAAACTTTTCGACTTCCTACATTCAAGATAATGAAGTAAAATGCGTGAACAACAGTTAATTCATCAGTAAACGTCTAAAAATAATTTTACGATATAATTAGTTTCGAAAGATGTACAAGAATTGATCAATAAACTACGTTTCGGTTACAAGCAAAGATCCGAACTGATGTTTGTCTTATAAACTCGGCTCTATTTTTATTTGAACTTAGCGAATGATCAAAATAAGCTACGTTATAGTTTAACAGCGATATTCGTACCTTTCGACGTAATAATTGATATTGAACACAAATGAATGGCATTAAGGATATAGGAAAAAAAATTATTGATGTAATGATGACGTTTGAATAGACACAAAAACAGATGAAAATTTCAAGAAACCTTTCAGTTTTAGGGGCTGTTTGTCAGGGATGTAGTCAGTTTTTGGGCCGGGTTGTAACAATGGGGATCAATAGAATTAGGTTACTTTGCCAGTGATTCACAGCTAACCTTTCTCGATGAAAAGCTCTTCATCATACTGTACACGAGCTGTAATGGCGTACGTTCAATATTATTTACATCACACGCAACGAAAAATCAAGAATAATGTGAAACAAAGCGAAAAAAAATATTTACTATGGCATTGGTATTTTCCTTTACGTCATCATGGTTCAATTGAATGATCAAGGGTCTTTCTTACACAAAAAAAGCGAAAATTAAAAAAGTTTATAAAAATAAATAATGAAAGCTGTTTTACAAGAGAAAGAACAATATGCGTTTATATACAGTGCGTATGATTCGTTTAGCCGCACACAGTTTTTTGCTTCTTTCTTTCTAATATGCAACTTATAAAAATTCAATTATACTGTCAAATATTCTTTATTTATAACGTAATCAAATAAGCTATAAATAGCTATAAATAATATTTTTAAAAAAAATAGAAAAGAAAAATGAAAAAATAACGAAAATTGGGATTTTAAAAGTGCACTAAAAGTACACTTTGAAAGCCGCACTAGGGAAAAAGTATTTTCAGTGGATATTGTAAACAAATAAAGTTAATTTGTAAGTAATTTTAATTAAATAGATTATTATCTGTAAAGTAACGCTATCAATTCATTTGATTACTGATTAAAAAACAAATTAAACAAGCCAAAAGGAAAATACTTAAATGAGACTGAAAAGGCTGTAATTGATCAATTAAAATCGATTGAGCTGTCCAATCGGGACATTGCGAAGCGAATTAATAGAGACGAAAAAGTAGTAAGAAATTATTTAGCAAAAGGCAAAGATTATGGCAAGAAAAAGAAGACAAAAATTACAAATCGTGACAAAAATCGTGCAATTCAACTTGCTTCTACGGAAAACTACTTATCTAATGATATCATACGTGAATTAGATCTGCCTATTAAGAAAGCTCAAGTTTGTAAAATACTGCGAGACTCTGGGCGCTTTAAATATGTCAAGAAGATGAAAAAACCTATGTGGAATCCTAAGCATATTGTAGAACAATTTAATTGGGCAAAAAGATACGTTCAATGGACTACGAAGTGGACAAATGTGGTCTTTTCAGATGAGAAAAAATTTAATCTTGATGGACCAGATGGATTTCATTAATACTGGCACGATTTAAAAAACAAAAGGCAATTCAACTACTCTAGAAATTTTGGTGGTGGCATTATTGGTTTGTGCAGCATTCTCAATGCATGGTAAGACCCAATTGCAAAAGTTACTATTCGGATGAACTCAGACAACTATATTCAGCTCATGGAAGATGTTTTGATTCCATTTACGGACGATTTTATGGATGGTGACTTCATTTTTGTCCAAGATAATGCTTCAATTCATAAAAGTAAAAAGACTATGGAATGGTTTAGTAACAAAAATAACGTTGTTCTCGATTTGCCAAGCAGATCACTCGACATGAACCTAATAGAGAATATATGGGGAATTCTTGCCCGTCGAAATTTATTAACACAGATATTAGAAACTTTAGTCAATTCCATGCAAAATCGTCTAATTGAACTTATACGTAAGAATGGACAGGAAACAAAATACTAATTCATCGTTTTTTGCAAATAAAATATTTTTTTCCTTAGTGCGGCTAAACGAATCATACGCACTGTATTCATGATTATATAAATCAACTTCACATTCTTCTACTCATCCCCTAAGTTCCTGATGCGTATTTTATAACCTGTCAATTATTTTTCCCTTTTTTTGCAATGTCCATACGTTGAGATAATTATTTAATTTCGCAAAAGTACATTAATAAATAATGTTACGAGCATATTGAAGCATTAAATTGATTATCTGCTTTGACAATAAACTAAATATATCAATTGCATGTTGCGTTCATATTTAAATTCATTTGTAATGCAGCATAGAAACAGAAAATTATTTTATGAACGAAACAAAAAAAAATGAAAAAATATTTTAAATTGAAAATGTGTCGAAAATGAGTACTAAAAGACTTGTTGGAGGGTGCAATTCCAAATATGTTGATTGTTTTTGTTTTATGAAAAAGAAGACAATTTTTTTGTATTTTTTAAAAGGAGTGCTGGGTTGATATTGAATATATTTGTAGAGTCATATTTTGTAGGGTCATTTTTTGAAATTTATATTTACATTGTTTGTTGAGGTCATTTGCAAATTACGTTAAGACCCTTAGTCAATTTCTATTTAAATATTGAAACTAAGATCCAAGTTATAGATCATAAATCAATAGAGAACGCACATAAAATGTCAAATCTTGTCCTTACTCAAGCTACAAATTCTTGTACATTTTACTCAATCTACGCAGTATCGATTTGGACTTTATCTGCACCAAAAAACAGTAAAAAACAATTTAGATAACAGAAAATATTTATTTAATGGATATAACAAAAGAAAAAAGGCGCAAAAAGCTTAAAATGTGGTAAATAAAAATACTATGAGCAAACAAATATATGAAGTTAGGGTTGCTGCAAAAACGCTTTAAGTTTAAAGAGCGACAGAAACTTAAAATGGAGAATTTGAACACTATTGGACGTGGTTTTACCATAAGTGTTGAACTGATCAAAATATGATTTCACTCCAACAGTGCTGTCTGAACCCAAAAGGATTTGTTAAAAAATACTTAAAACAACGCAGTAATGTAGCTAAAAGAAGAAGTCCGAGAACTTAGCCCTTCTAATGCTAGACGCTGTTGGTATAATTTAAAACCGGAAAGAAGTACAACTGCACATAATGCTATCGGTGTTGAGTGTCATTATAACACGTACTGAAAAAAATCACCTTACTTATGATCTCACCTACAAAGTAATCAGCATTTCATCATTTTCTAGAAAGCCACTAAAATACTCTAGATTACACTAAGATTTACTGCCTCATTCGTCATAACCTACATACTCGACTCGAGTAGTGTAAAGTCTTTGTTTATATAAACTTTTATTAATCTCAGTTACACACCAATTAGCTTTTAATGTAATTAGAAATGTGCGAATATTCAGGAAGGAAGGAAAGAAAAAA